AGGAAGGAAGGAAGGAAGGAAGGAAGGAAGGAAGGAAGGAAGGAAGGAAGGAAGGAAGGAAGGAAGGAAGGAAGGAGATGGAAATGAGAGGGAGGGAGGGAGGAAGACATTACAAACAAAATGCAATGAATGGGAAATAGCTCAGTAATTATTTAAATGCATTTCACTATCTTTATAGTAGTCCACTTGCTTGAAGTAATGGCTTGAAGGAATGATTTACTAGCGGTCAGGTGGGAGAGAAACATTAATAACACTAGCCGTAATTTTAGGAATAATTGAAATAATCATCTACCAAAATTGGTGTTAGTGCTGGGACTTTTGTTCATGTTGACCAATCACAGAGGCGCATGGATTTCCACCCCCGTCATTCCCTACCCCCCACCCTCTGGGAAATTGACAATAGTAGCTCTGCTCCACTTACGAGAAAGAGAAAGAAAGATTAGAATCTCTTCGCATTTCTCAGAATGTGCTCAAGATTATTTACACTCTCCAGGTTCTGACGCTGGAAAAAGAACCATGGCGAACCATCCAATTGTTCTCGCCCCAAAGAGAGAGAAGCTTGTTCCCAATGTTACATAGCTACAAACCCAGGTTTCCCTCGGCCATTGTCACTTAACGGTGTCCCCTCAGTCAGTTCTTAACTGCCCGATCTGTATAGTCACCTGTAGGACAGCAAAATAGGCACACATCCTCAAATCTTCTAAGCTGACTTTTTGAAGTCCATCACAGATTTGAGTGAAATTGCAAAATTGAATGGGCTCTTGTGCTGATCCAACCACACACAACCGTGCACATCTCTTAAATGTCACCTCATGGTTGAGATTTACATAACCATGGTGGGCATAGCATGCAATGCAAGCTTCATTCACCCAGCTTTTGGATTTACGTGAACTCCCTTCTGACATATTTAGGCCCTGAGGATGTTGTTACAAGAAGATGAGGCTTAATTGTAAAATACATCCAAGGAAGGGCCTGGACTTCTCTGATGTTGCAGAATTACACCCCTTTGTGGCCCTCATCAGCCATTACGGGAATTCAAATTCAGAAATATCAGGGGTGAGGGGTATACCTTTCCCATTTTTAATAATAGATCCATAATTGTAATAAATGCAATCATCTTTGGCAGTTCAGAGATGCAATCACACAGTATCTGAAATAAGGAAAGCTGTTCACATACGGTTCTGTGAACTTGCCATCATTCACAGATTCTTTGCTGATGGCACAGCTTTCTCACCATCCAGTGCCAGCTTGAAAGCAGAGTCAGTTCACACTTGCCTGTCTGAGTCATCAACTGTTGAAGAAGCTGATGCTGGCAAGAAGTAAAATCAAACAATCTACTTATGCGTGTCAGCCAGTCCTTAGCAAGTCACAAAATCATCCTCCTGAGTCCTGAAAAATGATCTAAGAACGTGGAGGTTGGAAGATGGTTTTCATTCTTTGATCATTAGATCACAAGCACTTCTTTGAGATGCATTTCTCCAACCTGTGGAGCTGTTTCAGAGGTTCCCTTTTTTCTCCTGACCCCAACAAGCTTCTTTTGAGGAGGACAGTCTCTGTAAAGCCCAGGGTCTGATTCCAAAAGACGTTGGTTATCCACTCTCTTTCTCCTTCTTTCTGCAGCCAACAACATCTGTTTCTACGGGGAGTGCTCATACTACTGTTCAACGGAACACGCCCTTTGTGGGAAACCAGACCAGATTGAAGGGTCCATGGCTGCCTTCTTGCCCGACTTGTCTTTAGCCAAACGGAAAACCTGGAGGAACCCATGGCGACGTTCCTACCATAAACGCAAGAAAGCTGAGTAAGTGTTGTGGTTAAGAGACTGCCCGGTGTTTCCGCTGCACCCCATGCAGCAGGCTGTCAATTTTCCATTGTTTCATAGCCAGACCTTAATTCAACCACCGCTGAGAACAATGAACGCATAATTCTGCCGGACGCAGCAGAGACACATTTGGAAGAGGCAGAGCAGAGCCTGTGCTGAGCCATTGTGACCTTATCTGGGTGGCACATGCCTCCATTTAACACAGATGGTTTGTCTCTCGATTTTGTTCTAACACCTAACATGAAAACACCACAACTTCTGGGTTTCCATGCAGCTGGACTGAAACGTTTGCTATAGTTTAACTGGAATCCAGCTCATTTTGCCCTGAGGCATGGAAGAGATCATTTTTCCCCCTGTATTTTTCTCCTCTCTCCTCTCTCCTTTCCCTGATTTGATTTTTCCCCTCCCGTCACATCTTTCGGTATGTCTCAGTCCAATCCGGACAGTTGGACAGGAATTTAGAGTTTATTCTGAACTCTTTCGAGCGACTCTATTAATAGCCAAGCTTTTCTGTTAATTTATTTCCCCCCACAGGAGCTCAGCAACCTTCTGCCCCTTCTAGTAGAACATAACTGGATTCTGGATCGTATTTTACAAATGTAGATGGGCTCTGTTGAACTCAAACCCACCCACACAGTCCTTGCGCACTTCAAGATTGAGAACGTTGAGGGTGGCTAAACTTCTCAATCTCTCTTTTGCTTCTCATCCAGGTGGGAAGTTGATCCAGATTATTGTGAAGAAGTTAAGCAAACACCACCCTACGACCGGGGGACCAGGATTTTGGATATAATGGATATGACCATTTTTGATTTTCTGATGGGTATGTTTCTCACCTTTCTACATGAAATAGCCCACTTAGAATGTGGGCAGTTTTACTGGTGGAATTTGTATAATTTCCCTATTTTTTGTTTGTTCCTGCTGAGAGCATTCTCATTGTTCAAATTAAGTAGGTGGAATTTCCCTGAACTTTTTATCCCTGGACAACAAACAGTTTTACCTTTTAGTTTCTACAGGCTGGAAGCTCTTTGTCCAGGACTTGGGATCGAGGGACACAGCGGCTCCTAGAAATGATCAGCTTCTGCCAGACTGCATCTTTTTAGACTCACATAAGAGTCTGTGTGAGTCTAAAAAGTCTCATACACATAAAAGGCACATCAAAGTTTGCTCTGTGCCAAAGCAGTCCCTGCACATGGAAAACTAGACGTTCAGTATGAAGATGTTGTCTGAATGTTGAGTCTCCCTGAAGGCCAACATGATACATGGCGAAGATCTATGGGGTAACTTAAACCTTGTTTCGGAGCCACTAAAGCAGAGATTCCTAAATTGGAGTCACAGATTAGAGCAGTGTTGTTCAACCTTGGCAACTTTAAGGTGCGTA